GACCCCACTTCGCGAAAGGCCATGGGCTTACAATTCCCTTCATCTCCGAGGCGGGGTGGTGGTGCTTATCCGCGTGTTCCTGACATGCGTGACACTCGCGCACCGTTTTGAGGGCGTCTTTCTTGACGGTAGGCCAGTAATATCCCTGCAGGAGGATAGCCCGTTCGAGGCTCCTCGGGCCAACATGGGTGGCACAAGTGCCCATGTGTATCATTCTCAGAGCTTGGTCGGCCTCTTCCCCCCCCAGACACTTCAGGTAGGCCCCCGTGAAAGAGCGCTTATGTAGTTCGCCTCCCACCAAGGTGTATCGGGCCGCCTTTCGACGAAGTGCCTTGGCTGCCAGTCGATCTTCAGGTACCTCATCCCGTTCAAGGAAATTGACCAGTTGGGTTCGCCAGTCTTGACTGCCTTCGGGAACTTCGTCTCCTATCTCCGTTACTTCTTTCATTACCGTGACTTGCCTCTCACCCTCAAAGTCCATGGCGGTGGCCAGCTTTGATAACGCGTCGGCGTGTGCATTACCCTCGCGCCTGACATGCTCTAAAGACCAATCCTCCATCTGCGCCAGCGCTCCTTGCGCTTTTCCGGCTAGCTTTATCAACTCCTCCTCTTTGATCTCGAAATTCCCATTTATTTGACCTACTACCAACGATGAGTCGGAAAAAATCTTGACCTTCTTGGCTCCCATGCCTGAAATCACCTTTACTCCGTTAATCAGCGCCTCGTACTCTGCAACGTTGTTTGTCTTCAGGGCGTCGAAGCGCATGGCGATCTCATGGATAACGCCCTCGGGTGTTTCGATGACCATTCCCGCTCCGGCGCCTCCCTTTCCTGCTGCCCCGTCCACTGACAATTTCCACGCTTGGTTGTCCCTGTGCGTGCCATCATCCAAGGTGAATCCTTCAACAATGAAATCTGCCAAGACTTGGGCCTTTACCGCCGGCCGGGGGGCGTAGGATATATCATGCTCACTTAGTTCGACTGCCCACTTAGTCATCCTTCCGGAGGCGTCCATTCCGTGTAGTATTTTCTTGAGCGGGAGGTTTGAGAGGACTGTGATGGGGTGGCCTTGGAAATAGGGTCGCAGTTTCCTAGCGGTCATGGCGACCGCGAGGACCGCCTTCTCGATTACCAGGTACCGAGTCTCGGCTGGGAGCAACGCCTTGCTGACATAGTAGACAGGCATGTCTTTACCGTCCTCAGACCTTCTCACCAGTACTGAACTTGTAGCCTGATGTGAGACCGCAAGATACAGAAAGAGACGCTCCCCAACTAGTGGTGCACTAAGCACGGGTGGCGCCACTAGTTGCTCCTTGAGGCGTATGAAGGCTTCGTTGCACTCTTCACTCCACTTAAAGCGGGCTGCCGACTTCTTTAGGATCTGAAAGAACGGGGAACATTTGTCTGCCGACCGAGGTATGAACCGACTTAATGCTGCCATCTTTCCATTAAAGGCTTGTATTTCCTTGATAGTCTTGGGGGCTTTCAGCTGCAGAATGGCGTCAATTTGCCGGGGGTTGGCCTCGATTCCACGCTTTGTAATTAGAAAACCCAAGAACTTTCCCGCCTCAGCTCCGAACACGCATTTGGTGGGATTTAAGCGCAGCCCATGCTCTCTCATATTCGTGAACGTTTCTCTCAGGTCTTATAGGTGTGTTTCCACCTCCTTGCTTTTTACCAATACGTCGTCGACATACGCTTCTACATTCCGCCCTATCTGTTGGCGTAGCACGGCGTCCACCATACGCTGGTAAGTGGCTCCCGCATTCTTCAAGCCAAAGGGCATGACCACCCAACAGTAGTTCCCTGTTGCTGTCATGAAGGCGGTCTTCTCTTGATCTTCTTCTGCTAGGCTTATCTGGTGGTAACCTGAGAACATGTCGAGGAAACTCAACATGGCGTGGTTCGCCGTGGCATCTATGAGTTGGTCGATTCTGGGGAGCGGGTATGCGTCCTTGGGACAGGCACTGTTGAGACTTGTAAAGTCAATGCACATACGCCACAAGCCTGAGCTCTTCTTGACGAACACCGGGTTGGCTAGCCAGGTGGGATAACGCACCTCCCTGATAAAGCCCGCCTTGAGTAGTTTTTGTATCTCTTCTTCCAACGCCATCTGTTTTTCCACCGATATATTCCTCCGCTTTTGTTTTATCGGGCGGGTGTTCGGTCTTACCGCCAGATGGTGTTCTGCGAGTTTGCGCGGCACGCCTGGCATGTCTTCTGGCCCCCATGCGAAAAGGTCAGCGAACTCTTGGAGGAGTCCGATCATGCTAGCTGCCAGGTCGGGTTGAAGGTGGGCCGATAGGCGCACCGTTTTCTCGGGCTCACCCTCTCGTAAGGGTACCGCTACATCTCCTTCCAACGCTTCCGGTCTTGGGTTGTTTCCCCTTGTATCTACCAAATCTACCTCCAGCTGTTTGATAGTTGCTTGGTAGCACTCTCGAGCTTGTTGCGTGTTACCTTTGACACAGCCGACCCCTTTTCCCACTGTGAATTTCAGCCTCTGATGACAGGTGGATGCTACCGCTCCGAAGACTGAAAGGAAGCTTCTCCCCAAGATGGCATTGTAAGCCGAGGGACAGTCTGCTACGTAAAACTCCATGGATTTGGTCTTGGTTACGTTCCCCTCCCCGATCGTTACGCGTAATGTGACCATGCCCAGGACTTTGATCTTCGATCCCGAGAACCCCACTAGCTGTGTTGAGGACGGCTTGAGGTCTTCGACTCCTTTCTTCATACTCTTCAAGGTTGAGAAGAAGAGGATGTCCGCGGAGCTTCCGTTGTCGATGAGCGTTTTCGTCACCTTGTACTTCCCTGTGCGGAAAGATATGACAAGAGGATCTTCTGCCGCTTCCGGGCTGGCCAGTTCTGCTGCTTCGAACACCACTTCGGCGGTAGGTGAGGAAGAAACGGTTAAGCACGCCTCTCCACTGTTCGCGACACGTGGTCGCTTTCTTCCCCCAGCGATGGTGATAATTTCTAGGTCGTCATCGTCTAGGCGTGGTTGCCTCCTTGGTGGGGGCGCGTTGGGAGGTGATGGGAGCCTTTCTCTTCCTCCCCTATCGCGAGACCTTGACCTTCGGGGTGTTCTGGACCTCCTTGCCCTCGACCTTGAACGCGGCCTTCTGGGGGACCTACTTCGATAACGCCTGAGTGACGGCGACCTGTCGTCACGCTCGTGTTTCTTTGCTTCCAGTCTACTCCTCAAATCTCCAGGTGCAAGGTTGGCGATGCTCATTTGGAAGTCTCGACAGTCCACCGTGTTATGTGAGGTCTTTTGGTGCCAATCACACCACCTTCTGAACACTGGGGCTTCGGGACGTCTTTGAGTATCGCGGCGGGGCCCCTCTTCTCTGGGTCTGCGTTGATGGGCGTCTTCCTTCTCCCTTTCAGTCGCGTATACCTCTCTTTTGTTCTCCCCCGCTCGCACCTTCCCCTTATAGTGGTTCCGTTCTGGGGACCGCCCTTTTCGGAATGGGGATCTGTTTCCCCTTCTTACTTCCTTTCTTCCTCCCCGATCTGTTGCCACCAATGCTTCCTCCAGTGTTATCACTCTGCGAACTAGATTGTCCAGGTCCGGCCATGTTTTGATGTCCTGCTCCTTTTTAATCAACGCCCGTTGAAGCTCCTTGCTCTTGGAAGCCATTCTCAGACTTCCCGCCGCCACATTTGGGGTCACGCCCTGGATTTCACTGGCGATGGTATTCCATCGGTCATAGAACGCCGTCAAACTCTCCCCCTCTCTCTGTGTGCAATTTATCAGCGCGGTAACGGTGAGACGCCTGCGGATTTGTGAAGCAAACTTCGATGTGAACAGAGTTGCGAACTGCTCAAAATTGTCTATGATTCCTTCGGGGAGTGCCGTGTACCACGTGCGACACCGCCCTCCGAAGGTTATCGGAAAGGCTTTGCAGAGGTCCGCGTCGGAGGCGTTTATAAGCTGCATCTTCAGCGTGAAGGCGCTCAGATGGTCGTTCGGATCGGTGTCCCCGTTGTAAGCCGGAAGGCCCAACGATGAAAAGTTCGGGGGAACCGGATTCCGGAATAGCTTTTTTGAGAGGGGGTTGTGTAGGATGCTCGGCCCCTTTGTCTTCCCGCTTCCCTTCCCGAAGCTTGCTTGCAGGTGTTCTTCCAGGAAACTCAGGTCGGTTTCCGGCCTTTCATCGTCAGTTTCCTCGTCCTCTGACTCAACTTCTACTATCTTCTTCTTTCCTCTATCCCCCGGCGTGGAGGACGGGCCTGGGGCCTCGGGGCGCCTTATTCCTTCTTTAATCAATGACAGGATCTGACTTATGCTGCTCCGCATTTGCGTGATTTGCTCCCCTTGACTTTTTACCCTCTCTTCCAGCTCTATTTCTTCTTCGACCGTGGGCGACAAACCACGCATCGTGATAGGCTCGACAACTTCCTTCATAGGGGTGATGGAGTCACCCGACATTTCAAGGAGAACGATATTCTCTTCCGGCCCCACGGTGGGCGCCAAATTGTTTAAGCCTAGAATGTACCAGGCGGGAAAGGAGAGACCTTTGGAGAATACCGTTGTTCCTTGACGCGCGGGTGCTGCGTTCACTGCACAAAGGGTCCGGGGCGTAGCCCGCGAACACTCTCCGATGACTAAGTTAGAGATAGGGAGAGAGAAAGTAGTTTAGAGAGAGAGTGTATGAAATCAGTTACCATTTAATGAAGTGGTTGGCTGCTATTTATAGTCCGAGGTGGTGGGTGTGTGTGTCTTGTCAGTCGTGTGTTTTCCCGCTCCTGTGCCACACGCTCGCGGCGGCATTTAATGAAGTGTCAGTGATGGCATGATTGGTGTGGATCCCCCCTTTCTGGTCGTACTTACCCGCCTCCTGCAGGCCTGACCTGGTAGCGCCTTATACCTGTTCTCTTTGTCCCTTGGGCCGGCCCATTCCTTGACTTACTTACCTTGGGCTTTTCCCCTTTTGGGCCGTCTCCGGTCACGTGGGCCTTTGGTTTAGACAGCGATCCCCTATGGCCCAACAGTTACATAACAAAATAATATTATATTGATAGAAAGATTGTCCCACCAAGATATGATACTGTCTAGTACAGTTTCACAAACAATACTTTCAATATGATAAATTTCATTCAAATTACCGGTTTGACATGAATTTATACTTTAATTATGGTTTTATCACGATTCTACGGTTAATCAGTGAACCAGCAGTCTTATCTATATTCAATCTCAGTACAGTTTCACAAACATGACCATACAATCAGTTACAACTTTGATGATGAACTCAATAACAGTACCTTTGACACCAGCAATTTACATGAAAAACAGACTCATATTTGCTGTTTGCATAAGATCACGCACCATATATCAAACAAGAGCTAAGTTAGTACTATGCCCCGCACTGTTTACTCATCGCAGCACTGATACATAATGAACTTCTCCATAGCCCGGCCACACTCCGAGCACACCACCCTCTCCGGCGCGTTTGCTGCAGCGCCAGGAAGCACGAGACGGTTGCAGTGGTGCGGGCTGTGGAGCTCCATGAGGTGCTGCTTAAGTGCTGGGAGGAAACCTGTTTCTTTAACTTGCTTCTCCCACGATGAGAACTCGGTCAAGCATGTCACAAATGTGCTTCCTTTGGCTCTGACCAAGTCTCCTCCTGATCCTCTGCTGAGAATGGCCCATCCATCATCACTGCCGTCGTAGCTAAGCAATGTCATGATCTCTTGCATTATGGGGTCGTTGTCGACCGTTTTATGGAGCTGGTTCTTCGAGTGCCACATGCTCTCGATCCGAACCCAGAAGTACCATACCAGGGTCAAGTCCTGCCAGCAGTGGCTCATGTTAGCTGCTGTTATGGCCGTTATGTTCTTACGAACTCGCTCTTTTGGGTTGCTTTTGCCCACATAGACCATCTCCAGGGGGATGCCTGCTGCGTTCCCCACTGCATGTAGCACGCTGGTGAATTTGCGGATCCACTCTGTATCCTCGCCTCCATATACGCAAATATACTTATCTTCAGACATCTGTAGATGAGAAGATACAAGGAGATTGGGTTTAGGACATTGTAGTTGACTTCTAGTGCTTGTAAATGGGTGGATTTTAGAAGATTGGAAATAAGTCGATAACAATATCACGGTGAATCAGAGAGAACATACCCATTGCACGATTGTCGGATCAATGCCATCTACCAACAATTCAAGCCTCCAACTCTCTTCCTTCCACAGGGCTTCCTCCCTAGCAATGGTGAAAGGGAAGGCTGCACTCCCCCAGATCCACATCATGTGCAGTGCATTTGGGCTCATGACCTTTACTTGAGGATCTAGCACAACGAGAATAGTCTTCTCCCCGAAGTTCCATTCTTCTTTCACAAACTTGATCGCTGCAGGGTCGATAATCGATGGATGGGACACTGAATACCAAGGCATGGTCGCCTGCAGGCTCTCGAATTGCTTCTGCTTACCGTCGGTCCATGGGACAGCAGGGTCGAGGATCGGGAGCCACACGACCTCATACTGAATGTCATGTCTCGTTGGATCGATCCGAGCTTCGTTGTATATCTGCTCGAGGATAGCGATCTCCTCTTGCAGGATGTCCAGGCCTGATATGAGAAGCAGCACCATTTTTCTCCGTAGGACATCCAAATGAGCCTGCCATTGTCAACCACAAGGAAAACTTCTATTGGAGATTTAGCCTTTACGGAAGAAAAACTCACTATATTTACTGATTCAATGAGGATTCATCCTGGGTAGCAGGCCTATTTACAGTATAATCCTATAGGACGATATGTCCATGACCAGATATCAGGATTCATAGGCCTATAAGGTTAGCATAATTTTCACTCAATTATTACAGAGGCTGCAAATAGAATTGACAAAATTGAAATCAGAGAAAAAGAATCAGAGAGAACCCTCTTCTTGGTGGCACCATCGACAAGAGGCTGCAGATCATCCTTTGCATAAATCAATGCCTTGAGAACCTTCATGTTATCGATTTGTATAGTCTCAAACAAACGGATAAGGCTCTGATAAGACTCCATGAATTTCTTTTCATCTGAATCATATGGTGACACCTCCATAATCAGTGCTTCTTATTCTAACTTCCATGGTAGATAAAATGTAACAGAGAAAAGCTTACCAATGTGCTTATAGCAAGTCCCCAGTTGAGCTTCGAGGTGGCTGCACATGTTGCTGAGTTTGTGACCCAAGCTTGACAGCTCCCAGGCTTCTGTGGTTGCCGCTAAGTGTCTGTAACCAAAAAGAATGAGATCAAATACTCCTCAAAATTCCTGTACTATCATCCGACAGGAACTTATAACTTCGAGCAACAGCTCGTACTGCCAACGCATAGGCTTCGTAGATTGAATGTACTTACCCATGCCCTAGGCCTACGAGGCCAGTGATCTGTGATGCACAAGCCACAACACTTCGAGCTGTCCAGTAGACAGCAATGGGTATATGAGACAAAGCCATGGATAGTGCTTCAACATCAGAAGTAATATACTGAGACGGCAGCTCCTTAAACTTAATGACACACTTGCCAACGTCCAGCATTGTTTTTATGACACTTCTCACAGCATCGAATCTCGGTTTCTGTGCATTCGAAAGCTCTAAGATCTCAGGCAACTGCTTGAGGATCGCCACTGCTTTCGCTAGCTGATTCGAGGAGTAGTTCTGTGCGATGAGCCAGAACTCTCCATAGTTCATGCCAAAAGCTGCTAATACTATCACCAACTTTGCATCCCATGAGAAGTGGGCAAGCATGTTCAGTATCGCCATTGCAGAACCATGTGCATCCTCACTTCCCGAGCATTTGCAGGCAATCTGTGGTGATAGCAGAACTAAATTAATGAAAGATAAACAATCAATCAAGATCGCCAAGGCCAAAATATTCAATCACAACGATCATAGCAAACCTCTGTAGCAACTCGATCAATCACAAAGGCCAAAGATTCAAGAGCATCCCTCATGCTGGCTTGCAGAGCTTGGTCCTCCAAGGCTTCACCATGAACTGGAGTGCCCTACGATCAAAACCCGCAACTAAATCATGAAAAAGGAACACCAATGCAAAGGAAACTATAATGCAAGCAGCAGCAGCAGCAACACAAAGGAATTAACATCACAACCATTACCGGGCTAGCAACTGGCCCGAGAGTTGGGTCAGCATGAACAAAGATGTCCTCAACTACACGGAGTATAGGTTTGACATCGATCTCCTGCCCATCTGGAGCATGAGCAGCTTCAAGCTGCTTCATCACCGCAACATCGTCGGAGCTCGAGTACATCAGGCGGCTACCCTTGGCCGGTTTCTGCATTCTGACTGGCGCTCTTCTGAACGACATTCTTCAACAGTAAGGGCAGAGAATGAGCACAAGAAACAGTCGTTTTTAGGGCTTTTCTAACTCAATATATCCCAGCCCCTATATAATCACAATCAGAAAAGCGGAATCAACTACCTTTCTTGCGGCCTAGTTTTAGTACCATATTAGCTACAGAGCGAAGCATTGTCTCTTTTCCTGTTCCAGCCCTGAAAATTGCTCCTCGATAAATGGCTTGCTGGGGAAGAGAATATTGAACTGAATCTCGCCTTTGCGTCCCTTGAACAGGGTTTGCCCCCGTTCTGCGTTCTTGAAGGAATCCATCAAAGCTGGGAAGAGTAGACAAATAAGAGAGGAAAGTATAAATTTTGATACTTGCTTGCTCTCTCTCTGTTTCTCTTTCTGTAGCTTCAATGGGGTTCCGGCGCAACAGTCGTCCATTTTAGTGGACGTGGCCACAAACTTGTGCTAACGCGCGCCGTTGCGTTGGAAGACGTCACGGCGGTCGGTCGGTCGGTCGGGTCGGGGGAATACCTCTCGTCATGGAACTGGATAAAACGGAAAAGGGGGGAAACGGTGCGTTTAAGACTATACCGGTAACTTGCTAATTTTGGGGCGGAACTTTGTATTTCCGTTTCGCTTCTACAGATTTTGGCTGACCTCACTGCTCATTTCTTTTGCTCCCTTGTTCCGGTTTTCTCCCGCCATCTTCCACGGCACCGACTGGGCATCTAACGCTTCTTCTCGCCGTCCGACAAACTCCCCGGCCAGGTCATTCATCCTCTACCTCTGCGTAATTGTGAATCTTGTTTTTTCCTTCTTCGTCTGCTTATCAGGCATAAGCATTGTCATAAGGGGAAAATTGCTTCCGGAATCCGAGCAGACGGTGACGAATTCTAGGGTTTTTTGTATTTGATGTGCTTTTCGAGAATCGGAGGTCGCGGCTGCCGTTATGCTCCTTTTAGGATCGAATGCGCGTCGTTTATAAAGAATCGTTCTTCGAAAAGAACAAAACAGCGTTTTTTTCCCTTTGTCTCGGCGCCAAAAATTGCGCGGCTATGGCGCCAGGACCGGTTTCATGTGCCGGAGAATCGGAAGGGCTGGGGAGAAATTGAGATTAACGGAATTGGAGAAATTCTCTGAGCATCAGTGACTATTTTTCTGGACCGATGATTTTTGTGTTGTTTTCCTTTTCTTGATTGATGATTTGTGCAGTGGCTGTTGTTTCAGGATGAAAGAAACTCCAGTGAGTCGGGAGGATGCACAGACCAAAGAGGGGCCAGACTACTTTGCTTACTATGCATCTCAAGTTAAGGAGTTGATCTCACAAGAGATAGATTTCCCTTTATCAACCATTGAATCAACTGGAACTAGGACTGGCGAGGGGGTAGACCATGATGTGGTTGAGCAGCGTGGCTTCAGTGGTTCACGTTCGTTGTTCAGCAACAGCATAGGAGCTGGAGTTTCAGAGTACAAGAAGGAGAGGTTAAATGCATTGCTTCCACAGGCTGCAAGCGCTCTTAAACCCGAAGTGGATGAGGTATGGCAACCAATCGGAACGGTTTAATTCGCTACACTTTTCGCTAAGGTTCAATCTTCTTTCCCTTATGCTGTCAACTGTAGTGGATAACGGAAGGATGTGTCCCATGGTGTGCAGCGTTAATTGTCATTTTGATACTTTGCTGCTCAAGAGTCGGGATCGTCTTCATCTCTTTCCATACAATAAGTTCAGTACAGAATTGAAGCATAAAGCATTGATCTGATACTTGAACTGTGAATATTGTAAATATCACTGTGAGTGTTTGTGTTGTGTATGTGTGTCTGTTGGTATAGTCAGAAAGTAGCATGGCTTGAACCCGAAAATATCTCATGTTAGCGTATTGAAAGTTTCTATTTCTTTACTTTCTTGCTTTTCTCTGAGCACTGCCTAGTTTATATGTACTTGCATTCATATAAACTGAACCGTATTGGTATGCGGATCTACCCAGATGCTCGATCCTGTTATTTCGATGCGTCAGTTACAAGAGAAACTGTGGAACAGAGATTCTGCTGCAGGAAAGGAAGGCACAAAATCTGATGGAGAAGAGATTGCTGACAACATACCTCAGGTCTCATCTTCATCTTCAAGCAGTATCACTGCACTTGTGTGTCCTATCGATTCTAGGTCCTCTGAAGAGGTTTATCTTTCTTAACAGTTCATATATTCATATTCTTTTCTCTAAAAGTAATTTTAGTATTGTTTATCTTAAGATGGGATCAGTTAACATATCTTTTCTGTGTTAGAGAACTCTGATACGTTATCTGGAAGGAGCAAAAGGTCATTGTATATCCACTGAACTGGTTCCTGTATTTCTTGTTTTAGTAAAAGACTGTTCCATGGGCAATCAAGATTGCCTTGGTCTTTTTCGAAGATGGAGCTATTTGAGGCCATGAAGTTTCAGATTCTTTGTTTGCATTTGTTGTTTAGACCATATCCATCCATATCTGTCTGCTTTAGATGTTTGTGTCTCCTGACCAATCGATGAATGGGGCAACCATTTTACAGGGGGATGACGATCTGGAATTCCTACTTGGGACTGACAGCACTCTGGTTGAAGAGAGTATAAAGAAGTATTCTGATGAATTATTGTCAACTGTAAGTTCTACAAAAGTTTTGCTTCTCTGCCATCTAGGCCATCCTTCGTCGACCTGTGGCTTAATTTCAGTATACCTGGATAAGTTTCATACTCCAATTGCTGATAACAGATAGCTGAAACTGACTTGTTCTCAGCTAGCCCACATGGAGAAAAAACTCGAAGAACTTCTCGACTCTGTAGCTTCTACTTGCAGGTATCTTCGTTCATGCTACACATAAAATTAGGTTGCTTCCTTTCTTATTGTCAAAATTATATGAGCAAGTTCAGAATCAAATATAGAGAACATAGCTTCACAATCTAGGTTTTGATCACATTGTCTAAAGTTCGCAACTTGAATCTTATATAGACCCATGACCAGCACAGAGAAGAAGCAGCTTCAAAGGATGATCCGGAACCTGCCACCAGCAAATTTTGATCGCATAGCTGATATCGTCCAGCGCCACAAGCCGATAGAAGCGCAGCAATGTGAAGAAATCGTTGTTAACATGGAGCAGGAGGTAAGTAAGAAGTTATAGCTGCTAAATGATGTTATATTCTTTTGTCAGAATGGTATTGACACTTCTCCTTTCTTTCCAGGATAATACTACACTCTGGAGGTTGTATTACTATGTTCAAGTAGTGGAGCGCGCTAAGAAACTCGTACCATAAGCAGCTGTTATTGTCTTCCCGCTAGCTGAGAATCCTTTTGAGAGTGTCCAATTCTTGACTGTTCATAACTTGATAAATAGGTATGATAAAATTTGAAACTATTTCTGGGAGGTTGCTGAAAGCCATTTCTCATATTTCCTTTGCATCATTGCATTCTTGTTTGTGACATCTTACTGGAGATCAAACTAGTGACCAACGGTTCAATATTTAATGCCAAAACCATGCTGAACCATATAATAGCGTTACAAAACTATGACATATATCTAACCATCGGTTTATTCATAAACAGGTTTGAAATTCTTGTAAGCAATGACAGCATAGAAGGGATCTTTTGACGAACCGGACAATAATTCGAGCAACCCCATGTACCATGGCCTCTCTCCTTCTCCTCCCTTCCTGCCACCAGGTGATTTCCTGACGACCTCAGCCCCAGTGAATCCTACCACAGACTGGAAATACTGTACCACAAGCTGCACTCTGCTGTAGTCACTGCCATCTCTCCACGAAGTAATAGCCTTTTCATAGAACATTCGATTGCTGAAACTCACTATGAACACTCCTCCTGGTCTCAGCGCTCTGAACACTTCGGCAAAAACCTGAAAATGTATTCATACACAAGAGAGAGATGTGTTGAGTGCAGTTTTGGTGGCTAATTTTGGTAGCATCTTTAGTCATTGATCAGACATTATTTCTTCATCTTATGTTTCTGTGCCCAAATATATTCGACATTTGAGTGTAATCATGTATATGTACACAGGGTTAATACTGATTTCGTCGTTGATCTTGCTTATGTCAGTTCAGCGTTCGATGTCACGCACACGACCGAATATATTCAAGTATCTACCTGCTCTGGATACTGCAGATATTGGACGCTGACAGTGCACAAAACGGCATCAAAGCTCGAGCTCGAGAGCTCGAGCTTCTGGTCCCGATTAAGATCCTTTACGAAGAAGTAATCTAGACGAGGATTCTTCGCAAGCTCCTGGGCGTTAAGCCCGTGACCCACCACTCTCTTGAACTCCATTTCTTCTGGCAGATGGCTGACCCACGAGCTCATCAGGTCAAGAACCTCCGACCCGGATTGCAGCCTCCGCCTGTAGAGCTCCGTCAGCGCCGAGATGAACCCACCATCGACGTGAGTGACGAACCTCGGGTAGGAGTAGAAGTCCCTGTCCGATCTCAGGTCGAGCTTACCCCGCCCCTGCTGGGTCAGAACCTGGCGCCTGATTTTGCCCGGTTGAGACCTGTTGTCGTCCTCTTCGCTTGCATTCGTGGTGGAGGCTGAAGCTCTCGGAAATTTCAGCCGTGGAGGGGTGTTGTTGTGGGCGATGGCCGTCGGCAGCGGCGACGGTGGCTGCCATGGGCGGAGCATTTTTTTGGTGAGAATTGAGTTCCGGGAGAATTGTGTGATGGGAAACTAATAACAGTTGAGCGGCGGTTAGAGGATGGAGCCACAGGCCCAACTAGTGATGGGCTTTTATGGCGGGCCGGGTACGAGTTCAGGCATCCATTTCGTTCGAATATTTCTTCTTTTTCTCTCCTTTCGCCACCTTTGATCTGCCACTGCGAAAAAGCTGCAATCTTTGGACTTTTTTACGCGCGCCATTATCAGATTCTCCCCCAAATTACTTTCATTTTCCAATTGATTCGTAGCTCTCTTTTCAATTTGTGCCTTCCTTACTGATCTTCCATCAGCTACTGTTAGCGAACTAACCACTTGGCCCCAATAACTCGAGTTGTTGGGAAAGGGATAGTTAAGCCTTTTAACCTTTAATACGCCCCCTCAAACGAAAGCCGATGCCGAATTGTGGATTTTTACGGTTTGCACAGGTTGAATCCTTGTGCTGCCAAACCACGAGGCTTTAGTTTGCACAGGTTGGACATACCATTCCTTGTGCTAAACAAATTGGCATGAAATGGGGGTCGTTATGAGGATTCGAAACCATGACCTTTCGGTTCTAGGCTCTGATACCATGTTATAAACCAGTTGTTCCCAATAACTCGAGTTGTTGGGAGAAGGTTATGCTGGATCTTATACAGGCCCGTGTATGGTGCTTAACCACTTCCTTACAGCTACAGTTGTTTCTCCAGGTTTGTTTCAGTGAATGATTTTAGAAAAATTCTGTATTTTTCCGCTGGTTTGTTCTTCGGATTGTGTAATTCTTCTCTCATTTGTCGATTTAGGGTACTGGGTTTTGTTCTCCCTTCTGTTATCTGGTGGTGGGTGGACGAATTTGGGGTGTGGGCTTTTCTAGAACTGCACCAAATCTTCACCTCCAACTTTTCGTGATGGCGGACTTGCCTAGCAGAGCATTGGTGTTGTACGGTGATGGATTGGCTAACTTTGTTGATTCATCTCACGTCCATCTCCACTCGCTTGCATCTAAAGCTTCTTGTGGCTTCCTGAGCCTCCCTAATGCCCCTCCATCAGGTTCAATCTCACTCGACCCTCTTCCATTTTTATTTTTATTTTGGTGTGTCATCCCCTGCTGATGAAGGAATTTCTGAATTCATGACATTAGATAGGGGACTTGAAATTGCTGTATTTGTTGCGTGCATTGCGCTTCATTTGATTTTTCAAAGATTGAAAATTTCTAATTTCATGGTGGGAACATAGGTTTGGAGATTCGAATGTACTGGTTTGCATTCTGGTTAAAGCTATTGGTATTGTAACTGTCTGAGACTTTTCTGGTATTGGGAGTGCAGAAACTGAGGATGAGAGGATAGTTAGGGAATTCGCTTTGCTTATGGACTCTTGGGATGCCGCTTACAAGGGCACGGTATGATCTCTGGTCTTGGAATTCTGTCACTTCAATGCTGCAAAGGGTTTAGTGACAACTTGTTGGTTTTTTCTTTCAGAATAACGCCTCAACTCCATCCATTTCAGATAGGTATCGTAACATTCGATTTACAATTTCCAATTCATATCAAAATACTTAATACTAAATCATGTAAAAAATACCCGTGTTTGCCTCTTGCTCTTCAGGTTCATGGGAATGAAGGCTGCCATAGTTACCAAGAACCCTTCTTTGAAATCTTTTGGTGTTAAACTTGGCTTCACTGTACTGCCATCGGATGTTTCGTCGGATTCTATGGGTTTAGAGTTGATGAAGCTTCTGGGGTTTCAACAAGGAAATGTGGTAGACACTAATCAATTTGATCTAGTGTTTGTACACATGGGTGCCGGGGAAAGAGAGGGTGGTGATAAAGACGATTTTGGTGCCAAGACTGTTGCTTTCATTGATTCTCTAGTTGCTGCAATAATGAATGCAGCAAAACCTGGTTCAGCAATTGGCTCGCGTCTACACTTGTCACTTGTGATGAGCTATGGATCCGTTTCGGAGATCAACAGTGCTGAAACTTCGGTTTTGATTTCGAATAATGAGCTGAATCCCAAGCTTTTGGGGCTTTTTCCTCGACAGAGTTACACCATGAGAGGGGAACAACCCCGACCTGATGTCAGGTACGAACATGGAAGTTTAAAACACGTCTGACAAATTTTTCTAGTTTCTTGCCCTTGTGAGTTAATCATTATATTTTATCTAATCTGCATTCATTAGGCACAACGGCCCAATGTTAGTTGCTCAATTGCAATATGCTGTGACCCGAATGGACAAAGCGCAAGTGTTTGCTTTTAAAGATTTCAAAGAGGTATGTCTGCTGTTACTTTGGTTTTAGAACGTTACTTGATTATCTGTTTCCAGCTTTCCTTATTGCTCAACATTACATTGCCTCTTAGCTTTTGGATTGCCTTAGGTTTGTTAGAATGGCTAGTGTCCTGTAAACGTCATGGCTTCATTTTGCAAGTTCATTTTCCAAACTAGTGCTCGTTTGGGGGTGTCTAAGCATATGTTTGTTGGCATCATAGCACCATAGTTCTGAACCTACACCGTTTTGAGTTCTGGTAGGATATTGCAATGAATGTCCCATGTTTAAGCTTGATGTTTCTTTGTTTTGCAGCATGGTGGAAACCTCGTAATACCAGCTGATCGGTTTCTCCATGAAGTTGCATTTAAGCTGTGGAAGGCTCCAAAATATGGAGCTTGATCTGGGCTTCCCCTCCCAATTCCAGTTGTTAGTCATATGACATCCCCAGTGCCTTTAACATAAGGATCTTAGTTTAGATATGCTGTACTTTATTTGGTCATTTGCTGATGCATCCTGTTCTTGTAACCAATAACTGCTCACAGAGTTCAAAATAAGGAATATATGGTGCAAAATTATGTGACTTGAACTAACGAATTTTGTCACCCTCTTCTTCTTCTCCAGTCTTTGCATATTTGTTTGATGATGAATGAGTACCATGTACCATGGAAATGGATCTTCTCAAAGCATAGTGTGATTTTGCTTCGATACTCTAATTTGAATGTTATCTTTTGTTCAAAATTTCATTGCTACCCATTAAATACAAATAAAATCGCCTAATCGAGACCAGATTAGTTCAAACGTGCTTTTGATTTGGTTTTCATCTCCTTTATTTTGCATTTGGTCCTTATATCAATTCAAATCAAATTTATACCAAATTGGATCATGTCCATCTTCAAATAGTAGCGTCCTATCTAACATAACATTGCACATCACTCCTCGTGAAAGCATATGCGTAACCAATTTGGGTTAAGGCTATGGCAAAAAAAAAACAATTTGGGTTAAGGATAAAATTCACTTAATTCTATGTGTGTACAAGTCGTTTGATTGAGGAATCGTACATTTTACTGGTTTGGTGACATAATAGCTGGCAACTCCATATATTTAAGAAAATATCACCACATGTATAGAATTGTATGACTATGTGTTCTAGAAATGCCAAGATGAGTCTGACCAATTTAGAGATTTCTAAATTTACATTGCATGAGGCAAACTATAGGGACAAGTTCAATGCCTCTTCAAGTCCTTAGCAACCACTTTCTTCACGATGCCCTTAATCGAGTACTTATAAGTTATAACAACACGATCCCACCAAACCACCAAATCATTTAACATTGCACGAGTGCCATACTCAAAACAACTTAAAGCCAAACCAAATTCCCCATTTTTTCTTGCCTCCTCACTCCTTTTTGTTGAAACCATAAGAAAGAGGACCCGACAATGGTAGGAAGAAACGAAACAAGGGAGGGAAAGCACAATCATGACAACAGACGTACACAATATTTTATGATCCATGAAGCTACATGCGGTTATACAATAGGTTGACAATTTTCTTTTGGTCGGACTTGCATTGAAGTCATCCCCATCAAACACAAGCATATAGCCAATAACTTTGCGTTTGTTTTAAGTGGGGTTTTCTTCTATGGAGGGTTAGGGTCATTTGACTCAAAGTTGCAAGGAATTTTCAGTTGTTGTGTTGAGATTGGTTTCCGTGGTGAGTTAGAAATTTGAATGAGGAGATTAACTTAAATCATGATAATTGGGAAAGGGAGATTAAGGTTTTATAAACTACTATATTTTCTAAATTTGTTATGAATTATATATGTAATTTTATCAATATTCAAATTTGATAGAGGGCTATAGCCCTTCCTGACTTCAAACTACATAGTATAATGCAATGAATAGGATTCAAAGGTCTAGTTTGTTGAGTTGAAGATGAGATCAAGTCTCCACTTTATGCCTTATAATTTATTTAACTTTTATCTGTTAACATTTTCTCTAGATTATCTATCTTTTGTGTCTTATATTATGCAATAACCTTTGACATGAGAGTCCAGAACATGTGTCGTTCTCACTTCTCCATAGATTTTGTTTGCATAAAAACAAAAAAACAAAAGATCGTCTGAATATATAGGTTGAATCGAAATTCAAAATATATTGTGATTGGATATCTTAAGTGATATGACCAATACTCATTTCTTCTTTCTTTTTAATGATGTCGATTTTTGTTTATA